GCGTCACTAGCATTGAATGCACAATGTCGATGTCGGAGGAAGCACTAGGGTCGGGGTCGGGGTCGGGGTCGGTATTGAGATGTTGGGAGTTGTTTTGAAAACACAAAAAATAAGTTTTACCTATTTTGTGTCTTTTTAAAACAAAAACACTATTTGTTTAAAAACAAAATAAAAAAATAGTTATAGCAAACAAATTTTTTTTGTTATATTTTCTATTTTTTTGAAAAAAAGAACAAACAATAGGAAATAAAAAGTGATCACAGAAAACCCCTTGGGATATGCACAAAATTTGAGAAGTTGGTTTGCTATGATTAAAACAAATTACTATTTGTTTTTGGATGAAATTAGGTATAAAATTAAGTTGGAATAATATGTTATTTTAGAGAGCATTGGGTCGAAATTCAAACTGATTATTTTCTTAAATCACTCATTCTGATCTCTATGAGCTTTGATTCACGACCAACAAATTTTCATCAACCGACACAAATCTAGAGACATGACACATATCTCGATGCACCTTTTTGAGCAAAAAATATTCAAACTTCAATTAAGAGTCATTCAAAACTCCAATTTCTGCAAACTTATTGTTAAACTGATTGGCTCAATGAAGCAAATAAGATGATACAAAAATTGATCTAATTCAAGTCAAATCAAGCTTAGATCAAGCCATTAAACTGTTTTTAGAAGCTTTCTAGACACATTTGAAGGTCAAATGGATGTCGAATTTGACGAGTTCATTGTCGAATTTAGTGCTCGACAAAACAATTCTAACGAGCCCAATATCGTTTAATTCTGACATTGTCAAGGTTCTTAAATGTCCATCAAACGACCGTCTGATTGAGGGAACTTCTCTGGATGTTTTGATCAAAGTGGTTCGCATTCATGGCTTAATAGCACCTAGAATTCTATAAATAAAGCCTCACCACTCTCAAGAATGGGGAGAACTTGAGACTTGAGAGGGAGTTGAAGTCAATCATCACTCCCACCAGTGTCGACTATGGCCGACCGCCGCCGACCGTCGTCGTCAACCACCCGCCGACCCCTACTGATCGTTGTAGGTCACCGCCGATTACTATCTGTCGCCGCCCGTTCTTGACAACTAATTTATTCGCACGTCTGCAGTCAACATTGTAGCGTACGAGATCTTCTAACCCTTTCTGCCCGTAGCAGAAATGATTTCTGTAATCATCAACTTATAGTGAATTTTTATAACAGGACCAGACCTTGTAGTTTTTTCCTTTACGGGTTTTCCATGTTAAAAATTTTGGTGTCTCTACTGATTTTTTTCTTTTATATGAGTGTTGATGAATTCTCGTACAACGCTAAGACGATAATATATTACCTCTATATATATTTCTTTTATATGAGTGTGGATGAATTTTCTACCACACGTCAGTTTGGGGTCATCTGTGAGAAGCGAAGTCTCATTTGACAATGTCTTCAACTCTGAAACGCTGAGCCTCTATGCATTTCCCATTGATGTACATCACTCAACTGACGAAGGAACCTTCTTTACATCTGAAAGAACATCTCTAGAGCATTCTTTGTTGTGGGGGGCAAATTTCACTGCAGTCTCGAAAGATTGTTCACGTCAACATCCCAGACACAATTATAGTAGGGTTTTCTTCTCGCATCCTATTGAGATACAAAATCTTTCACAAGTTCTAAGCTAGGGTCAACCATCATTGCAGTCTCGAAAGATCGTTCATGGTAACGTCCCGAACACGACTATGGTAGTAGTCATCTCATATTTTGTTCAAACAACAAGTCTTTGAGAATAACTCCTACACTAAGGGGCAATCTTCATCACAAATAACGTTTTCTTGCGCCTCCTTATCATACTAGAGTTCATCTTCAACCAGATCAAAAAGCTGATCTCTTTATGGCTCGATATATGGGTTGCTTTACAAGCTCGTGTGGAAAACACCCCCGGTAGGGGGCAAAAGATTCAAAAGTAGCAACTGTCAAGTGTTCAAACATCATTATTGAGTATGGCGACAACCATATTTCCAAGAAAAAAATACAGTCTGTTGTGACCCACGCATTGTCTCAAGAAACGCAGAGCATAAATGATACCTTAGTTTTTGGGATTAATCGATCCCAGAGGGACTCGATTGACCTCTTCTATTGCAGGCTACGGTTGTCAAGCAAAAGATTTGACTAACAGTCTCTGATAGGTAAAAAATTCTTAGTGAATTTCCTTTGACCTCTTCCATAATAAGTTACGATCATTTTGAAAAAGCGTTGACCAACAACCTAGGATAAATCAATCACTTTTAGTGAATTTCGTTTGATTTTGTTCGTTACGGGTTAATGTTGTCGAGCATCTTCGGTTACCCAAGACGGGTCTTACATACTTAAAGAATTTTTTTTTTAACTATGTTCCAACACAAGCTATAGTTGTTAGACATACACACTTTGACTAGCATCCTAGGAAAAGAAATGTTCGCAGTGGTAGAAAAGGTTTCCACTGGTACTTCTGGAAGTCGAGTCAAAGAGGCAAATCTCGATAAGAAAATACAATACTCTTAGAAGTCGAGAGTAAGAGGCAAGACTTGATAGGAAGCTACCATGCCCCTGAAAGTCGAGCCTAAGAGGAAAGGCTCTACGAGAAGATACAGTACTCCTTAAAGTCGAACTCAAGTGGCAAGACTCGATGGGAAGATACGATACACCTGAAACTTGAGCCCAAGAGGCAAGACTCAATAAGAAGCTATCATGCCCCTGGAAGACGGGCCCAAGTGGCAAGTTTTGATGGGAGGCTAGTAGGGAACAAGGTCCTCATGAGAAAGGGTCTAGGAGAGCAAGTGGTTGATGTGATCTTTACTTAAAATCCTCAGAAGATTACAAGCCTCAGAAGACACATGCACATCAAATATCTTATAAAGCTACAAGTCTCAGAAGATATATGTATATCAAAGATCTCAGTAAGACTACAAATCTTAAAATACATGAGCCTCAAAAGGTACGCGATTCATTTTTATGTAAAATGCATGCGTTCACTTTGATTGTAGATTTCTACATAATTGATAAGCCACAACTCTCAGAAGGCACATACCTCAGAAGATACACACCCAAGAAGATACAAATCTTAGAAGGCACTAGTCTAAAAGGTACACATATTTTTTTTTCAGTGCACATGCTAACTTTAATTGCAGAATTCCGCACGATTTAAAAACCACAACATCCCAAAAGAGGGTAAATCACAGTTCAAAAGTAACATACAAAAATTTATTACTTTAAGTTGAACGTACAAACAAACACATCATCATGTGCAAATCTCACATCAGACAATTAAAAGGCTACAACAAATCAATTCATCTTCGAGTGGAGTCGGCATTGCCTCCCCGAATTTCCAGATATCACCATCACGAAAGTATGAAAATCTCCCGCTCAAAGCGCAATGGGAAAACTCCAGCATTTCTTCATCTCTATCAGAATGCGTAGCAGCAACAGGCAGGAAGAATTTGAGTCACCTGTTGGGCACGGATGTGGATAGCTTTCTTCATCTTAGCGACACCAAAGAAGATATTGTTGCTCGTTTGCTACGCAAGACGTCATACGATTTTTCTCTGCACCGCAATGCGAAAAAAGATCCCGTTGTTCGTCTGTTACGTAGAACAGGGGCGACTTTCCTCTGCACTACAATGCGAAATAAAATTTCGTTGCTCGCCTGCTATGCAGAACAAACACGACTTTTTTGTGCATCGCAATGCAAAATAAGATTCCTTTTGGTCATCTACTAGACAGGACGGGAATGACCTTTCTCTGCGCCACAACATGAAAGAGATTTTTGTTGGTCGACTGCTATGCAGGACGAAGACGACTTTCTTCTGTGCCTCATCATGAAAGAGGATCCCGTTAATCTCCTCTTACGCAGAACATTGACGATTTTTTTTTGTGCCAAAACATGAAGAGGATCTTGATGGCCCATGTAAAGAAAGTCGTCCCCTTTCTCTGCTCGTCGTTCCTAATTACCCTTCAGAATTGCGAGAATTACTTTTGTCGTTCCCAAATTCTATAATAAGGGGGGAGAGCTTGAGACTTGTGAGAGAGCTTGAGACTTGAGGAAAAGTTTGAAACTTTGAGAAGGAGTTGAAGTCCATCATCACTCCCATTGTCGTCGAACACGGCCTACCTTCGCCGACCGCCGCCGACCATCTCCGACCACTGTCAACCACCACCTGCCGACGGTTGCTGATTGCTATCGGTTGCCGCCCGTTCCTGACAACAAATTTATCCGAACGCCAATATTGTAACTTAGAAGATCTTCTAACCCTTTTATGTCAGTGAGAGAAGTGGTTGCTGTAATCATCAACTTATACTCGTTTTTAATAACTTGGTCTGACCCCACGGTTTTTTCTCTTTACGGATTTTTCACGTAAAAACTAGGGGGTGTGTGTACACATTGATTGGGCACGCAGCTTAGGTTACTTCAATATATTCCTTTCCATGGATCATTGCGATTCAGTGAAAGAGTTTTGTAGTTCGAGAGTGATAAGATTGGAGGAAGAAGACAATTACTCTCAGAGAACTTGAAGTAAAAGTACGGTTCTGCCGAAATTTTTGGAGCACTTTCATTGAGTTTGTAAAGATGCCTATTCAAGGAACTTTTAAATGGGTAATATTTGGTGTAGTTTTGTCTTTTTTCCTTATTTTATCTATCGAGTTATTTCGCCATTTGTTTTGATGTTTCTCAATTATGCTGCGAATAGGTGTACTTTAGTCTGGGCTAGACCATTTTTTTGCGCTCCTTTTATTTCTTTGTATGCATAACTCTATAGCATATCTCATTCTCTATCCGTTTCTATAGATGTAGGCTTATTTTAGCTAAAACATTAGAGTGTTGGCATCTTCTTATTATATTACATTTTTCATGCATAGATTTAAAATATCAAAGTGAATTAAATCTAAATATCAAACTTTAGGTATTTAATATGTGAATAACAAAATTACAATCTCATCTTACATCTCTAACTTATAACATTTCTCATTTGAAGGCGCACACGTGCCATCTTTGATGTCGTAATCAAAGTTCACCAGAACATACAGCATAGGGACATCGAAGCCGGCAGGAACCTCGGAAACTGGGTTCTTCGATGGCTCGACCGCATGAAACCCTCTGCAGAAATTCGTTCCCTCTCGACAAACCGGTGCCTCACCCCTGCAATTCCCATTCTAGAATCGAGCAACCGCATGCCGGCTGTTGCTCGAAAGCCATATGTGAAGCTTGCAGACAGGGTAGTGAAAGGGAGACTGCTGTTCGCTCGATGGAATTTGATGGCAAAGTACTCGCCAACTGTTGCCATGATGATGATGCAGCCGATGAAATCGCTCGGCATGAATGGCCAGCTCAGGCAGCTCACTGGCAATGCATATCAAAAACCTGCGAATGGATTCAACAGATATGAAGGTGTTTTCCGCCAGGATATTGCTATCCTGATGCAGCGAAATTAGTAATTGCTTTGTTTTCTAATTGGGATAGTTTACATATAAACCACCCGAAGCATTGATATTTACAAATTAAAATCTATGTATCTAAGCGCGGTGATAAAACTATTGAGAATTTGATAAAATGGCAAATATGGGTTGGGGTTTTATCATGAATTTTGATATTTAAGTGAGAATTCACAAAGTTGATGAAGAAGGGTGGCTGATTTGTAAATAGCAAGTTTTTGGGTGGTCTGTATGTAACTGTCCCCTTCTCTTTTGATGTATTGCTGTATATTATTCTTTGGTCTTGTTCTGTCTGACAAATTTTCTCTGAAATAAAACCGCTCCACTATTCTTGTGCAGGACGAATGAGAATGATAAATGGATGTGATGAAATTCGGAATTTTGCATGAATTAATTGTTATATTTGAAGAAGTTTTTGGATAATATCCATTGAAAATTAGATGATTAAAAATAGATTTAGATGTTATGAATTTATGTACTAAAAAAATTTTAAAGTTTACATTAATATCATACAATTCTTATATTTTTACAAAAATAATGATTACATTTTAGGGATAATTAAATATAGAGCATACGAAAATTTCATATTTATAAATTAGCCTTTAAAATTTTTTTGAACCATCAAACCAATGTATTTAAGCCTACAATGATTGAATTATTGAGAATTTTTAAAAATGAAAAAAATATGGTATAGGGGTTTTACCATGAATTTTGATATTTGAAAAAAATGGATGAAAAGGAAGTTGATTTGAAAATAGAAAATTTTGTGCAGTCTGAATGCAATTGCCCCTAAATTTTAATATTAAGGGTCTGTTTGGGGCAACAGTTGATTATTTATAATCTTTTGATAATCTGATAATCTGTAAATTATCAGAATAAATTGGCTTGCTGTTTGGGGGAGTTTATTTAGAATAGTTTATTGATAATTATTGCTGGATAAATGATCATTTTGCCTCTGTTTGGTGAAACTGTTTGCAACAGAACTGTATTAGAGAAATAATAAACAAAACATAAGCCTCAAACTATTACAGATCAATTAAAAATAAAATAAAATATATTGTTCACTATCTCGTGAATATCAGAAGAAATAAAATAAGGAGAAATATAATTACAACTAAAAGTAAAAATATTAAAATGTTCAATTTAAAACTCTGACGTCGTCTGTCCTCAGCGACATTGTCCTCATGAGAAACCATTGTGCCATAATCACTGTCGGCAGGGAAGTATGTTGGAATGGTTGCCCAACGAAAGAAATCACATCGTGCTGAAACACCCCTCTGACAACCGTAGAACTGTCTCTCACTGCTATGAGGCTGGCGTGACGTGAGTAAGGGAGCCGGTAGTCTACAGAAACACAACACAACTCGGGTGGTGCCTGTAATCCTAAAGCTCATGCCGCTACTGAGATAAAACAACAAAAAATAAATCATTTATCAGATCATAAAATTAAATTAAATTTTATATAGCAAAATTCTAGACAGAGAAAAGAAAATCATAGAAATTCTTAATAGAACCATAATATTCAAACTCATTTTGCAATCAAATACATCAGATATAAATCTAGAGTCTAATAAATAAAGAAACATTGCTGAATCAACATCCAGAATAATATCTGCGATATAATCTCTCAAAGCAACCATCTCGACGACACCTTAACCGTCCCGAGTTTCAAATTCATTTGACTTGATTTCATCCTAAGGTAATGATTGGCCAACTAGAGATTTTGAAGGTTCTGAAGTGACATGTAGCTGATCGTCATCAGCCAAAGAGAAATATGTATCTGATTGAGAGGGATGTCTTTGGATGAAGTCGTGAAGTGTCATAGTGGCCACCACAAGAAGGCACAAGCATGGGCACCTTCATTTAACTTTTTATGTAAGGAGATGCACATAACATAAGTTCAACTATATGAAAGCCAAAACTGTTATATTGAGATGCATATTCAAGAGGTTGAGAGGGGCACATAAGGCACATGCATGAGCACCTTCATTTTTAAGCCTAACATATTACTTATAAAAATTTTTCCTCATCTCAGCAAAAGTTTTTCCTCCTCCCTTCTTTAAGAACACAAATAACATGAACAATTCAAATACTAGTAAATTCGTATTGCATAAATGATGTGGGAACATTCTTCGCATTTTTAACGTAGAAAATAAAGAAGAAAATAGAAGTGGATTGTTCTTTGATGGAGAAATCCAAGAGGTTGAGAAGGGCACATAAGGCATGAGCATAAACACCTTTAACTTTTTCTGTAACAATAACATATTACTCCCCTTAGCAAAAGCATGGACACCTCAACATGAGGCACAAACGAAAGGCACAAGCATGGACACCTTTAACATAAGACACAAGCATGGACAACTTTCAGACCCTAAATAACAATAGAACTAGGTGCCACGACCGTAATTATAACATTCTAATGCAAAGCTAATGTGGAAGCAACTCTTTGAGGAAACACATTTGAACTGCATTATCCACACAGTTGCCACAAACGAAAAGGCTCATTGCCACAATCGATAGATCTACAATGGATCGTCTCCTCAAATAAAAATATACCAATGGATCGTCTCTAAAGAATGCCAAGCAGAGAGTAAACCGAATGTTCCCATTGAGAATTGCAAACCCACAAGAAAAATCCAGTAGAAAATTTCATAATTCAATTTGATATACGAATTTGATCCAAACAACACGAATTTAAGATATTTCACGCAAACCCACTAGAAAAATACACTGTAACTCCACCTTAGAAAAAAAAACAGCAGAGGAATCACACTATTGTAACTCCACCTCGATAAACCCTAACATACCTCATATGAGGCGAAGGAAGGACGAAGGAGCAGCGAGGGTGAAGTAACAACCTTGAGATGGAATCGCGGTGTCAAGCTCCGCAAGGGTGAAGGGCCACAAGGAAGATCGGATAGGGCAAGAGCGAGGCAGAGCAAAAAGGGCATGAGAGGAATAGCTACCCAAATGCTAGAAAGTGACGCGGGACTCGGGTCGATCTCGCATCCCCACCTATTAAGAAATTGACGAACGGCGTTTCGAAACGTCTCCAAAATACTCGATGCACGCATTATTCAAACAGTGCGGTGACATTTTCACCCCAATAAACTGCCCAAAACTGGCCTAGATTGTATAAAATTTTGATTTTTGATGTCACATTAAAAATATTATTATTATTAATTTTTAACTTAAAAATATGTATGTTTGTGTTTCTACGTTAGTTGTAAATTTAAGATGATAGATATATTAATATATAAAAATTACAAACTATCTATAAAAATTCCACTTGTGTTGGTTCCTATTTTATAACCTTTTCTACTGTTTTTATCTTCACACGTGTAGAGATACTATTGATCGGACGCAGTCGCGAAGGAGATGAACAATTAGTTAATTAATTTATTTATTGTTTTTAGAACTCCGAACCCCGCCCAATCATTTTTGCAGACGGCGAAGACAGTGAGATCATCAAACCCTAATCCTAACCTCATTTATCTTCCCATCTTCTTCCTCCCGATCTGATCGAACTGTTGTGATCTGGAAGCTCGTTCTCTTGTTGATCAGAAGGGAACAAACACCTAAAACAAAGCACGCGACCCGATCATCGGGACCAAATTTCAATCGATTCTTTTTCTCGATCTCCTCACTTAAAGCTTTTCGGATCCTCAATTCAATTCGGAGCAAATCGATCGATTTCCCCTTCGTTCCATACAAATCGTGACGAGTATCAAAGTAGGAAAGGGATGACGAGAGAAAAGTCTAGCATTAACATTTTGTAGATTGAATCAGAGAGGATCGGATATACAAGAAGGCATAGGAAAGGCAAACAAATGAGCGGCGGCGGGGAAGACGATGCTGCGAAGCTGAATGACGAGCAGCTTGCAGAACTAAGGGAGATCTTTCGCTCCTTCGACCGGAACAACGACGGGAGCCTGACGCCGCTGGAACTAGGCTCCCTTCTTCGATCCCTTGGCATAAAACCAAGCCCCGACCAGCTCGATGCTCTGATGCAGACGGCGGACAAGAATAACAATGGCCTGGTAGAGTTTTCTGAGTTCGTTGCCCTTGTGGAGCCTGATCTCGTATCGAAAAAGTCTCCCTACA